ACTGATTCAAACTCCAAATACAGCAGTCAATGCTTGTTCCAAATCAAAGACCGGAGCTGGGGATCAGTTCTAGGTCTCCTACATGGGTGGCAGAGACTCAAGGAACTGAGCCATCAGCTGCTGCTTCCTAGGGTGGGCATTAACAGAGAGCTGGAATCTGAGACAGAGCTGGGACTTGAACCCAGGAATTCCAACATGGGCTGCGGGCATCTTTGGGCAGCTTTCTAACTACTGCCTCAAATGCAAAGAAGCAAGAAGAAGCAAAAAGAGGTTGGCTTCATTCTGGTAGTGACAGCTGGATCGAGGCTTCATTCACATATCCTCCATTTTCTCATTCATGTGCACAAGTCCCCAGGAGGGTGCAGCCACCACGAGTGCGTCATAAAAAACAGCGAAGTGCACCTGGCCCCGGGCCCCTGGCCTGGCATCCACCAGGTCGCATTCTGTCTCCCTAGAGACAGACTGAGCTATCCTACACGATTCACAGAATCCCTCCCCCTGGCTGGGGTCCGCTGGGCAGCAGATGGTGCCATCTCACTCTTGTTTGATGCTGACTACTATTCCATTGTATGCATCCAGCACATTCTAGCTCTCTAGCTGACCGCTATGGGGCGTTTGGAATGTTTCTGCTTTTTGTCCCTGCTGGGTGACACGGCTGTGTACATCATGTGTGTGTTGCAGTGTGTTGTTGCTTCAGGCATGTTGTGGCATGTTGTGGTGTGGGGTCATTTGTCCCCACACGGAGGAATGGAACTACACGTTACATAGCGACTGAGTTCAGCTCTCTCGGGAGCTGACCAGCCGATGGTGATAGTCACTGCCCTGTCTTAACGCTCACCCCACCCCAGCCATGTACGAGGGTCCCCACTTCTTCACATCCTCAACAACGTTTGATATTTTTTAATTTTTTAAAAATATTTCAGGTTTTTTTTTTATTTGAAATCAGGCAGAGATACAGAGAGAGAAGAGAGAAGGAAAAAAAAAAATAGAGAGAGCTTCCTTTTGCTGGTTTCTTCCTCAAATGCCCACGAAGGCTGGGGCTGGGCCAGGTCAAACCTACGAGCTTCGTTTGGATCTCTCAAGCACTTGGGTCATCTTCCACTACTTTCCCAGGCCACTACAGGGAGCAGGACTCCAACAGGCATGCAGGGCCCGGTGGTGTGGCCTAGTGGCTAAAAGTCCTCGTCTTGAACACGCCGGGATCCCATATGGACACCGGTTCTAATCCCGGCAGCTCCACTTCCCATCCAGCTCCCTGCTTGTGGCCTGGGAAAGTAGTCAAGGACGGCCCAAAGCTTTGGGACCCTGCACCCGTGTAGGAGACCTGAAGGAGGTTCCTGGCTCCTGGCTTCAGATCGGCACAGCACCAGCTGTTGTGCTCACTTGGGGAGTGAATCATTGGATGGAAGATCTTCCTCTCTATCTCTCCTCTTCTCTATATATCTGACTTTGTGATAAAAATAAATAAATCTTAAAAAAAAAAAACAGGCATGCATATGGGATGATGGCACACAGATAGTGGCTTTACCCCTGTGCCATAGTACCATCCCTGATTTTTCTTAAGATTCATTTATTTTTGTTGGAAAGTCAGATATACAGAGAGGAAGAAAGACAGAGAGAAAGATCTTCTGTCTACTGGTTCACTCCCCAAGTGGCTGAGCAGGTCTGAAGTTAGGAGCCTTTTCCGGGTTTCCCATGAGGGTGCAGGGTCCCAAGGCTTTGGGCTGTCCTCTACTGCTTTCCCAGGGCACAGGCAGGGAGACGAATGGGAAGCTGGGCCGCCGAGATTAGAACTGGAGTCCATATGGGATCCTGGCACGTGCAAAGTAAGCACTTTAGCCACTAACCTATCATGCCAGGTCCCCCCCCCTTTTTCTTTTTAAAAATTTCCTTTTATTTAATCCCATTTTATTGCAAAGAAAAGAGAGGGAAAAATCTCCCATCCCACAACAGCACTGAACCAGGCCAAAACCAGAGCCAGGTGCCAGAGGCCACATGGGAGGCAAGGACCCACACACCTGAGCCATCACCTGCCTCATTGGCGGGAAGTTGAAGTGAGGAACTCCTTCCAGGTCTGCCATGGAGATGGCAGGGACCTGGAGCCTCCTGGGCCCCTCCAGATTGGGGGTCAGCAGGAAGCTGGCAATCAGGGGTGAAGCCAAGACTCAAAGCTGGCATTTGGTGAGGAAGCAGGCATGGTCCTTCAGCATGATACCCAGTACCCTCCCCCAGGGCCTGCCTGTACCAGGTGCCCAGGCACACATGTTCTCCTTACTCTTTGTCTCTTTTGGCCCAAGGAGCAAGGCCCTTCCCGTCTTGGGGATGCCCATAGCCTCCTTCTACCTGCTCCAGTGTGGCTGTGGAAGGCCCGTGGTGGGGAGGTACAGGGCTCCCAGAGAACCTATGGGGGGGCGGGGAAGAGGTAGCTGACTGATCTAATTATTATTTATTTTTATTGGAAAGGCAGCTCAGAATTACAGAGAGAAATATCTTCTGTCTTTTGGTTAACTCTGCAAATGATTGCAACAGCCTGAGATGAGCTGATCTGAAACTAGAAACCAGGAGCTTCTTCCAGGTCTGCACACGGGTGCAGGGTCCAATGCCTCGGGCCGTCCTCGGCTGCTTTCCCAGGCCTCAAGCAGGGAACTGGATGGGAAGTGGAGCAGCCACAACATAAACCAGGGCCCACATGGGAACTCCATGCTTGCAAGGTGGGGTTTGAGCCATTGCACTGGGCTCCCCTAATTATTATTATTTTTTAAAGATTTATTTTTTTTTATTGCAAAGTCAGATATACAGAGAGGAGGAGAGACAGAGAGGAAGCTCTTCCATCCAATGATTCACTCCCCAAGTGACCACAACGGCCGGCGCTGTGCTGATCTGAAGCCAGGAGCCAGGAACTTCCTCTGGGTCTCCCACGCAAGTACAGGTCCTAAGGCTTTGGACTGTCCTTGACTGCCTTCCCAGGCCACAAGCAGGGAGCTGGATGGGAAGTGAAACTGCCAGGATTAAAACCAGCGACCATATGGGATCCCTGAGTGTCCAAGGGGAAGATTTTAGCTGCTAGGCCATGCTGTGCCAGGCCCACCCCTACTTATTTTTTAAAGATTGATTTATCTACTTATCTGAAAGGTGGAGTAACTTTTCCAGAGAGAGGGAGAGGCAGAGATCTCCCAGTGCTGGTCCTCTTCTCAAATGTCAGTGATAGTCAGGGTTGGACCAAGCTAAAGCCAGGAATTCCATCTAGTTGTCCCATATAGCCGGCAGGAGCCCAGCCACTTGGGCCACTATATCCTGCCCTGCTCAGGCCTGTCCCGAGTAGGAAAATCAGGGTCCCTGCCTGACTCTAGCTGACAGATCTCCTCGGGAGGGAATAAGGACCTGGAAAGCCACCCCAGAAGGGCCCTCACCCAGAGTACACACAAGGCTGGGTGTCCCTGTGGCCTTGGGCTCCCCCACCCACCCCAAGGACCTGACAGGGCCACCAAGCACACCATACACACAAAACTCAAATTTCACTTTGGCAACAGGACTTTTATTGAGTCAAAAATGTGTGTGACAAAACCCAAGCCAGGTGGCTCCCAAGCCCCCACCCTCCCAGAGGAGATGGGGGACCCCCAAGAGAACGGGGTGAGTGGGGGAAACGACGGACCCTGGACACTGCCTGTCATTTGGGAGAAGGGCAGAGCCCACCGCCACTCTCAGAGTCCCCGTTGGGGACTCGGGCTTCCTAGGCAAACAGCACAACTCCTAACCTGGGTCAGCTACGGGAACGCGGGCGGGGCCAGGGCTATACATTCTAGTCTCAGTCTTAAGGAACACACATAGCTTTCATTTTGTTTAAAAATTTTTTTTTCTTTCTGCTATTAAAAAAAAATGCTTCTGAGTATAACCAAAAATAGCTATTTGTCTCCTTGGTTTTTTCCTCTTCTTGTTAAGTCTTTCAGAGAGCAACACAACAGAAAACAAGACCTGAACAGTCACAGGACAGTAACAACCCTTAGGTCGCCTTGTAGAAAAATAGCTTCCGGCCCCTCCATGTCTCCTGGCGGCTGCACAGCTGCCCAGAGGGTGGAGTAGGCTGGCGTGTCCCGCTGGTCAGAGAACACTGCCCTCACCCCACCCCAGGCACCTGTCACCTGTCCCTCCTGTGGGGCCTTTCAAGGCCCTGATCTGAGGAAGTGGCAATGTCCCCACTCCTTCCCAGGCCACAGGAGGCAAGAGCAGAGTGGACAGGAGCCGGGACACTGCGGGTCATGCCTAGTGGGATAACCATTTTCACTTCTCCTTTCCTCTTATTTTTGGCTTTTTCTTTGTTTTTCACATTTTCTCTGACCAATTCCACCTTCAGTTCTCTGCAGCCCAAGGGGCCACCCTTTTGGGGGGGAAAACGTGTGGGGGGGGTTCAACACGGCTGGGGCTGCAGAGAGGGGGTCCAGTGGCAGCACCCCCCAGCCTTGAGGTAGATGGCTACGTCACACCTGCAAGGGGGACGTGCCTTTTCTTCTTCTTCTTCTTCTTCTTTTTTTTTTTTTTCCATTTTTCTATTTTGGACAAGAGGGGCGGGAGTAGGGGGTGGGAGGCCCCTGGAGAGGGCTGAGGTAGGAGTGCGTTGGGGCTCCAGGGAGCAGGGCAGGGCCAGGCCCCACTCCCCTAAGGACATTCATTTCGGCTGAGGTAGGTGCTGGGCGCACACAAGTTCCATCCTGAGAAGGCAGCCCGCCACAGGGCGGTGCCAGTGGTGCCAGGGAGGGCGCCACGGTGGCATGGGGTGGGCGGGCGGGGGGACTCCGTGGGCCTGAAATCTCCTTCACTTCCCTCCCTTGCTCATTTTTCTAAAGGAAGTCATTCAGTTCCAAGTCGCAGGATGCGGGGCGCTGGGTGGCATTGAGGGGTGGGGACGATCCCCTCGGGCTCCCTGGGAAGGCCTTCCACGTCCCGCAGGGGCTGTCCCCTGGCAACAAGCGACTGGAGAAACCGCGACTTAACCTGAGAAGGGGCTACTGCCCCGCGAGGGTGAGGCCTGCGTCCTGCGGGAGCTCGGGGGCACCTGCTCGGCTCCTCCCCTCGGGCAGGTGCCGCGGTGGCAGCGGCTGCACCGAGAGCTGGGTTTCCTCCCACAGAGTGGCGCCGGTGGGATCCTGCTGGGGAAACCCAGACACAAGGAGTTCAACCAAGGGCCAGGCTCTGGTCCCGAGCAGGGCTGAGGACCCCCAAGGCGGCCCTCACCTGATCAGAGGCACAGAGACGCGCTGGCTCCCGGGCACTCACCCTGGGTCTGGGCCCGGACTGCGCCGCGGTCCCTGGTGGGGGGAATAGCTGCTCCAGTTCCTTGGCATCCACACCGCCTTTCTCCTCCAGGCCGAGCTGGCCCTGTTCACGAGGCCGTATCCCGTTCAAGGCCAGGATGCTAGGGTCCCTGTGGCTGCGAGGGCCCTGAGGAGGGGACAGCTGGTTTTCCACGTCTTTACACAAAAGCACCCTAAAGGGTAAGACCAGAGTGAGATGGGAAGGACATGAAGCAGAGCCAGGGGCCCTAAGCCCTGTATCCCTGCAGGCTCCGCCCTTCCCCCCATCCAGCCTCGCCCCCTACTCCCTAGGCCCCCCGCACACCTGCCCCTTTGGCCAAACAGCAGGAAGAGGACGCAGAAGATGATGCAGGTGACCCCGATGTGGATGCCGATGACAATGCCTGCGGTGGACGTCTGGTTGCTGGCTTCCTCCTTGCGGCAGTCACAGGGTGGGCTCAGGACTGGGGGTGGGGGCAAGTTGTGGCTGTGGCTCTCCCCGGACTGAAGCATCGCCCACCCACCGCCTGGCCCTGCCTTTGGGGACAACCCCCCAGCGGCTGCCACTCCCAGCCCCTCCTCCCCAGAAGTGGCGGACTCAGCCATCCTGCTCTGTTGTTTCAATTATCACTTCCTGAGTTTGTGCCACATACTGGGAGGGGGCCCTGAGCACACGCCACCTCCTCCTTGCCACAGCTTTCTATTAAGTAGAGATTGTTTTCTGTGGCCGGCGCTGGGGTACAGTGGGTTAACTGGCCACCTGGGATGCCAACTGACGCATAGAAGTCAGTTCCAATCCAAATCCCTGCTAATGTGCCCAAGAAAGCAGCAGCTGATGGTCCAGGAATGAAGACCCTGGTCACTCACATGGGAGACCCAGATGGAACTCTAGGCTCCTGGCTTTGGACTGGACCAGCTCTGGTGGTTGTGGCCATTTGGGGAGTGAACCAGTAAATGGAAGATCTCTCTCTCTTTCTGTCTATAACCCTACCTTTCAAATAAATAAATGTTAAAAATTAAACAAATCTGTGGCCCAGAATTCAAGGAACTTGTCCCCAGGCTACACAGCGAGAGTCCTAAAGAGTATCTCCCCATAAAGGCTCTGCCACTGTTCCGCCTTGTGTCCCGCTGCAGCCTCCAAGCCCTGCTCTGCCTTCCTCAGATCCTCCCTGTCCCATCCAGGACACTCACTGGCCCTCTCAGATGTTCCCTGCACAGACACGAGGCGGACGGTGGCGTTGCTGTCCCCGTGCTGGTTATAGGCGAGCAGCTTTACCTCGTACACTGCAGTGGGGTCTGGAGGAGGCAGAGGTAGGTACTCAATGACTGCCCCACCAAGCAGCCATGTCCTGGTAGGAGAGGGAGGGGACCCCCGCCAGCCGCTTCCCGGGCCCCCAGCCCCAGCTGTGTCCACCTCACCAAGCTGGCTGAGGTTGTAGGAGGAGGCCGTTCCGGGCAGCAGGATGGGACCAGTGAAGGAAGCCCCGCTTGCTGGGCGGTAAAACAGCTTGAAGCCACCCTCATGCTGGGCCAGACGGGGCCAGGGCTCCCACAGCAGCTGCAGGGAAGTGTCGCCCAGAACCCGTGCTGACAGCAGGGGTGAGGCGGGGGCTGTGGGTACAAGGAGGACTATAGTGAAATTCTGCTTTAAATTGACCATTTATATATCTTTTGTTTTATTTGGAAGGTGGGGACAGAGAGAGAGGAGAGAGAAGGAAGATCTTGTATCTACTGATTCACTCCCTAAATCCAGCTGTGTAGCCAGGGCTGGACCAGGCTGAAGCCAGGAGCCTTGGAGACTTAATGGAGCGGCGAGGGGGATGTCTCCCAAGTGGGGAGCTATCCCAAGTCCTTGAGCCACCACCTGGGATCCCTAAGGGTGGCCAATAGCAGGCATTGAAGGTAGAGCAGGATTTGAACCCATGCACTTGGATATAGGACTGAGGCATCCGAGTTGGCAGCTTAACCACAGTACCCATCAGACTGAAGCTCTGACCACTGGCCCAGCCCCTGTTCTTTCTTCAGCCATATAAGCTGAGGGGTGGGGTCCCCCTAGGCTGGACCAGTGGACTCACAGCGTGGGCTTGCTCAGCTGGTGGCGCCTTCCCAGGGGTTCAGAGATGAGCAAGGAGACCCAGCCCGGGGTGCCCCGTGCCCTGACAGCCTGGGTGTGTCTGGTTAGTACTCCACACTCAGGCCTCACCTTCACCCCGGGTGCTGGCCATGGTGGGGACAGAAGCCGAGCTGGCCCCTCTGGGTGTGTAGGCCTTGATGTAGAAGCTGTAGGCCGTGGAGGGCTCCAGGTCACTGACCACATGCTGAAGGGTGCTCTTGCTGACCGCTTCCTGGTACTCCAGCTCTGGCGGGTCTGGGGAGGCAACACATTTGGGGGTGGGGAGGTTAAGGGGGTGAGGGATCCCCACGGAACCTGGTAGAAGGAGGGTGGCCAGGGGTGGAGTTCAGAAAGCATTGGATCAGGACATTCAAGGTCTCAAAGGAAGAGAAAGGGGGACATAGGCAGAGCCTATACGCCCCATCCCACCCACCAGTGGCCTTCCGGATGTGCAGGACATAGCCAATGATATCCTTGGTGTTGACCAGGGGCTCGCTCCAGGACACACGGACCTCAGTGGGCGACATGGAGGTGGCCTGCACGTTGCGAGGAGGCCCAGGCAGCCCCTCGGCCCACAGCACGGTCAGCCGGGCGCTGGCCTGAGATGAGCCCGCACTGTTCTCAGCCACACATTGGTAGATGGCTTCATCCTCAGGGCCGATTCCAGAAATGGTCAGGGTGCTGTGAGGGCAGGTGAACGGATAGAACTTCAGATGCCTGTCCTTGGTGGGTCCCTGGGCACCAGCCACCTCTGCCCACAGGGTTTACTCATCCCAGGCCTTCACCCCAGCACATAGGCACCTGTTATTATTTTTGAGCCTGACGTGGCCTCCAGGCCCCAGCACCTGTCCATTCTTCAGCCAGGTGACGTGAGGGGGTGGCTCTCCCTGCGCTTGGCAGGTGAACATGGCCGTGGTCCCAGCTGGCCTAGAGATGGACTGTGGATGCTGCACAAACTCAGCAGGGGCTGTGGGGTGCACAGAGTGTGGTGAGCCCCCTCCACACACATTCATGTTCACCCCTGAGACTCCTCAGAATGGGGAGAGCCCAGCCTCCACCTGAGTCTATGCTCAGCAGGAGGCTTACCTCCCTCCCCAGAGAGGGCTCCATTTTAATGACTGTTTAAAAGACTGACATCTGTATCCAAAAGTCATCAAGCTGATCTCCCTGTTGTGAGGAGGAGGGAGAATTGCTACATAAATAAGCATGCTAATAGGGTTGGCTGCACCCCAAAGTAGTAATGAGGAGGAGATGGATGCACCCCCAGAGGCTCTCACTCCCACCCTCCTCCAACCCCAGGCTCGCAGTTTCCACCAGCAAGCCTCCATCATGTTCACTAACAGCCCATAGAGTTCTAAACCAATGGGACTGATGACCCCGCCTCCCCCATTTCCCATTCTAGGGGAAGGAAGCTCCCCCAGAAAGGTCCTGAAAAGGGAAATCCAAGCCTAGGTCCTGTGGTCAGTTGAACCCGATGGCCGGAGGCTGGATGGATTGGCTGTAGGCTGGTGCCTGGCTGGCTGCCTGAGCTTTGTCTCAGCTGGGTATGACAGTGTGCAAATACTCAGGCTGCTGGGCATGCACAGACAGCAAGTGTGAGATTGGAAGTGACACAAGTGTGAATGAACATGGCACACGGGGGAGACACATGTGTTGAGCAACACAGACATGGGCAGAGGGCAGCTGACATCAGCAAGGAAGACCAAGGCAGCCATGAGGCCTAGTAGCTGGGAACTCTGACATCCCCCCAACCCTGTTCCCGACACACACATTCCTGGACCTGGCCTAGCAGCACAGGGCCAGCACCAGTGAAGGACCTGGTGGTGGTGGTGCTGGGGTGACATAGGGTTCCTGGCTTCGGGTGGGAGTGGGGGCCAGGGTTGCTCCTGACAGAGGGAAGCAGGCAGTGGGTAAGTCTGGGGGTGGGTGAGGGTGGCCAACCTCGTACCTTGCACCACCAGCCGGCCCTGTGCCGTCCTCCTCACCCGCGTGCCAGGCCTGTTGGCCGCACACACGTACACACCCGAGTGTTGGACCGTCACGTCTGAGATGATTAGGTTTCCTGTGCCCAGCACCTGGATGCCTTCCACTCCGATGGGGCGGCCATCTGAGGAGCAGGACAGAGGGGCCGGGGTCAGGGAGCTGGGTGTGGGGGAAGAGGGGAGCAAGTCCAGGAATATTCCAGAATTCCAGAGAACTGCCCTTTTCACCAGTTTCCCAGCCAGGGGAACTGCAGAGGCAGCAGAGCCCCTGACCCTGGCCCCTGCTGACCTTGGAGATCCTCCCTCCATCCCTCACTCAGTGACGGGGATTAGATCAGCAGTTCCCAGCCTGATCTGACTCCCTTTGTTCCTGTACATTTGTTCATCATGCTTGCTTCCTGGAATGCCTCTAAGTCCCACAGGAAGAGGCCTGGTTAACTGTCTCCCAAACTTGTGGGAGCCCCACATCAGGTTCACCCTCCTGACCCATCAGAGCTTGGAAATGCTGGGCCAGATGGTCTTCCGAATGCCCAGGCCGTTTCTCCCAGCCTCGGGCAGGGACAGGGCCCCCAAGCCCCAGCCCAGGAAGAGATTAGCACAGTCAGAACGCAAGGAGACAGCTCCCCATTCAGTGGCTGAAGTGGTGAAATCTACTCCATTATCCCAGCCACCCCCTCCCTCTGGTGCCCGAGCTGCCACAATGCTGCACAGTCTCCCAGCCCCGCCCCGCCCCCTCCGGAGTGGCCCTCCCCCGTGACCTCTCCGTGGGGACAATGTGGGCCCATCTGCACCCTTCGATTCTCTCCTTCAGCTGCTGAGGGATTTAGGCTGCACCGGGGTTGGGGGCGGGTGAGGCCCCTCCCTCGGGTGAAGCTTTGACAACTGCAACTTTGGAGAAGCTGCAGAGTGAGTGGGCCGGGGAGGGGACAGAGACTGGGGTGCTCAGGGATTTGGGTGGGGGGGGTGGGACGCCAGATCTTGATGCGGTAACCCCGGGAGCTAAGCCAGCCTCGTTGGGGGCCCGGGGAATGCACCGGCCGGCCAATCTGACTCTCTACCCCACCCCACCCCCATCCTACCAGCCGGACGCCCAAGGAGAGCAAATAGGACTCCAAATGCCCCCGCACCCCATCCCGCCCCAGGAGCTGGGGGCAGGAGGGGAAGCTCACCCAGGCGGCTCCAGGACACAATGGGGCGCGGGTTGCCCGTAGCGACGCACTCCAGCACCGCGGTCTGGTGCACTGTCAGGGTGAGGTTCTCAGGACCCACGAGGATGGTCGGCTCCTTGTAGGCCCCGGAGCCTGAGCCTAGAAGATGCAGAACGTCCTGGCTTCCAGCCGGGAACTTCCCCACCTCTGAGCCCACCCACAGCCTAGTTCAAAACAACCGGCAAAGACAAGGCGACCTGCAGAGGGAGCTCCAGTTCCTAGCTCAGGGCCAGTACTCCACCTGGGGCCCTGCCCCTCGCCCTGGGCAAGGAGCGAAGCAGAGGGCGAGCCTTCCAAGGTGGAAAGACTCCCTGGAGTCCGTCTGAGCCCTCAGCAGCACTCTGAACTTGACTCTCTGCAGGTAATGGGGAGAGGGGCAATAAGAAGGAGGAACCGGGAAGCTCAGGCACTCACCTGACACCGTCAGCTTAGCCCCGTGGCTGACCCGGACGCTGGCGATATTGGAGGCCACACAGTGGAAGACGCCGCTGTCCTCAGCCCGCAGCCCTGTGATCTGCAGGACACCCTTGGGCAGCAAGGTGTACCTGTTGGGAGGAGGGGCACCGTGCGCCCCTGAGGCATGGAGCACCAAGCGTCCAGGTGCTATGTTGGTATCACAATCATCACTCTGACAGGTGGATGTCCCCGCCAGTCTTACCCCCTCCCCACCACCCGGAACTCCAGCCTTGGTGAAGACTGCACAGCCATGTCCACTAAGAAAGCCAGTGCCAGCTACTGCTGGAAGCAGGTGATCCCCCTCGCAGGCCATGGTCATGGGCTGGCCTCATCCAAATTCCTGCCCCAGGCTCACCTCTCATTATCCGTGTCGATGGGGACTCTGTCCTTCTCCCACATGATCAGGGGTTTGGGAAGCCCGTAGATTTGGCACTGGAAGCGGGCCACACCACCTTCCTCTCCCACGGTAGCCTGGGGATGCACGTGGAAGTCTGACATGGCTGGGGAAAAAGTGAATGGACTGGGTCAGGTGCACTGCCGAAGTGCTGGGGGCTCATTGGATGGGCTGTGTGGGTGTGGCCTCAGTATTAAACATCTTCCCCAAGGATACCCCCGAGAAAGAGCTGGACAAAGGCCTGAAGGGCAAATCTCTAACAGGGGACCTTTGGGCTGTCCTGGGCCCTAGAGGAGGGAACACTGGTTCTCCCTCCAAAGCTGACCCACGAAGGCACAGGTGCACAGGGCCACGGAGAAACATGCTGCATGTTTGTTTTTCAGAAATGGACATTTTTTTTTTTTCAGAAATGGACACTGATGCCCAGAGAGGAAAGCAACAAGCCCGGGACCTCCCAGCTGGGACCCTGTGACTGAGACCCACTGGATTTTATTTTTGTCCTTCATTGCTCCCACTGTACACGTCCTTACTCTACTTCCCCGTTCTTCTGCAGCTTCAGTGTGCCTCAAAGGGTGGGGTATTGCTGGGAGGTGACAAGCAGAGCCAGCAATCTACATTTCAATGTGTCATAAATATTCAGGTCCCCTCTCCTCACCTTTCAGGGAGCTGTTGGGCTGGCTTAGAGGGTGGGGTGCCTTTCCCCGTTATTAGGCTGGTTAAGTGTTCCCGCCCACTCCCCCAAACCCCACCCCATGAAGCCGGGGAGGAGGAGACCCTCCTCAGCCGGTTCCCAGCCTCTGCACTAAGGCTGTGATTTCATTAAAATCCACTTTGCTTCAAGTGCAAGAAGGCGGCTCGCCATCTGTCCAGGCAGGCGGGCGGGCAGCCCCTCCCCTCGGGCACTCCATCACCAGGGACAGGGGCTCACCTCCCAGGGGGACCCTTCCCACCCTGCTGCAGCAGACACACATGGGGGTGTGGGGTCTGGCCCCTGCTCTCGGTGCTCTGGCGTGAGCAGGCAGCCCTCCCAGTGGCCTTGCACGCCCTGTCTCAGGCATGTTTTGGACTTCAGTCTTTGTGCCCTCTTCCCCGGGGTCTGGGGCGGAGTGGCGGTGGGGGTGACGCTGGATCCTTTGTGGCACTCGTTCTCCATCTCATTTGCATGCAGTTCATTAAATATAAACATGCATAAAAATCCCCGCTCTGGCCTCCTCCTCTCTGAGGGCCTCCTGGGAATTGGCTGATGGGTGTGTGTGTCTCTTTGTATGTGCGTGTGGCACCGTGTCTCTCTGTATGTGGGCCGAATGTCCACGTGGCTGGGGATGGAGGATTGACTCTGCCAGCTCTGGGGCTGCCGTAATTCTGGCTATCAATCACATGTGTACCTTGGAGCCCTGGGGTGGGAGGTGGAGGCCGGTGTCCAGCTGGGACCCATCAGGCTTGGGAAGGTCAGCCTGCCAGTGTCTCAGGCCAGAGGCCCACAGGTCAGCCTGGAAGGCTCGGGGGAGGGGACCAAGTTGCTGCGGGGGGGGCCCCTCTACCGCCTGTGGCCCCAAACTGCATGCAGGAAGGCAGAGCTGGTTGTGGACTGGAGAGTGGTGAGGGTACCTGGGTTCTGGGTCAGTTGTCCCCCGCCCCAGGGCCCCGTCCATGTGGAAGTTGAGGAGCTGCCTGCGCCTTCTTCCCTTCAGCTGGAGAGAAGCAGCCAGTCCCCTAGGGACCTGGGCAGGGACTAATGGCTCTGCCGACTACAGATGCTTCCTCATTAAGGAACCAAATCCTTTTGTTGTTCCCAGTCCCAACTCAAGGTCCCTTGGATGCGGCCACAGTCAGGAGCTGGCCAGAAGAAAACTAACCATGGAGATTACCAAGGAGACAGGAAGAGTCTGGTCTCCATGTCTGTCTCCCACCAAGAATTTCTGAAGGACAGTGGGACAGCTGCAATTGCTGGGGTACTGGAGAGAAGCGTGAGAGCTGGGAGGGGTCATGGGTGATGATCCAGCCTCTCCTGGGTCAGCCGGTAGCTGGAGTCCCAGGTGCCTGGCAGCCCTTGCACACAGCTGAGCCCCTGCCCTGTCCATGTGGGCCTTCTATCACAAAGCCACCTCACTGCAGTTCTGTCAAGCATTTTGTTTGTGGTCGCTCATGGGGCAGGCACCTGCTACTCAGAGTTGGGATGCCAATCCCCTGCAGAAGTGCCTGGGGTCGTGGAGTACACTGAATGAGCTGGAGCTCTGCTTCTGATGTGGGCTTCCTGCTAACGTGCACCTGGAGAGGCAGCAGGGGTTGACTTGGGTACCTGGCTCCATGCCACCCACATTTGTGGGAGACCTGGATGGAATATCTGTCTACTAGATTCAGTCTGGTCCAACCCTGGTTGTTGGGGGTAGAGAGATATTTGGGGTGTGAATCGGCAGATGGAAGACTTCTGTTTCAGCAATGTTGTTCAGAAGTGTCTGAAGACAAAACACTTCACATGTGAAGGAAAAGCAGAAGCTGAGGCACCTTCTGGGCACCCCTTTGTTCTCCAGTGCCTTTCTAGTAGTCCCAGAGCAGGACACCCTGCCATGTATACTGCCTGTTGGAACCCTCTCTTTTCACAGGTTGGAGACCCAGGAATGGTCCTTCAACTCCATCCCCAGGAGCCCAGCTGCATAGTCATGGTCCCAAGAGGAGTACTATGCAATAATAGGAAGATATGGCCCTGTTTGTACAAGATTCACCTCCCACTTTTGCAGACTGTGGCACACAGCCCCTGGAGGAACGGTCCTCTCAGCTGTCAAGGCAGTCCTGGGCCAGGTACTCAGGGCCCTCCCACTCTGATATTCACCTGTTCTCACAAACAAACTCTGTACATCTCCAGTCTATGGGCAGGCTGACTCTGCTTAGGTGGAGAACCTCAAGTGTCTTGCACAAATGCTTCGTTCATGAGTCATAGTGTATATGGCCTCAGGGCCAGTCTCCCCAGGCGGGTGCAAGGTACACTGTGTGCAGGTTTGATCTTGCCCTTGGCTTGCATTAGGAGTTACACTAGGGTCACAGAGGAATTGTGGCCATAGCCTCTGGACAGAGGATTCCTCAGCAAAGCTGGATGAGTGAGGTGAAGGCTGCAGCTGCAATCAGGAGCACTCTAATCACTGAGCAAATCTTCCCGGGGGGCCACTGGGTGGTCAAGCAGAGGGGGGATGACTTGCTGCTGTGGCTGAAGACCCCATTCACAGCCAGTGACAGAGGTCTCATATCCACAGCCGGTGGATGGGGCCTGCTGCTGGGACCTGGGCTGCCAATGCTTTATTCTCCTGATGTTGCCTGTTGGCCTGGTTGGGGAGTTTTGGGTCCCCCACTTCAAGCTGGAAAAGATAATGACAGAAGCTTGCAGGGGAATCCCTCCAGGTGAGAAGCCATAGAGAGCCACAGGGAGGCAGTTGGGAGCAAGAAAGAAGGCACCTTTGTCCACAGGCAATCTGGGAAGAAATAGCTGGGCTCTCCCTGCCCCCACCAGGGGTACAGCCAGGGGGTGGAGGGTGAGCTAGGCAATGTACCTCATGGGCAGGAAACAGTTCCGGACACCCCTATAAATCACCCCACAGAGAGAGGGGTCTCCCAAGAACCAGAACTAGGGCTACTTGGGGAGGGGAGGGGGCACTTAGGTCCTGGCCCAGGGACCTCTGGTGAGGTCAGGCCTGCATTTGATTAGACAGGCTCCAGGGGGACGCAGGGGTCAGCGAGGGGTCGGAGCAGAGTGCTGGAAAGGAAACTCGGGTCTCCTGCCCCCCCGGTGTAGCCAGGCTCCTATCCGGTGTGTGATGATAAAGAGATGTGTGTGAGTATTTGCATCGGGATTGTAAGCACAGACTTTGCAAAAGCATGTGGCACAGGGGTCTGAGCCACCAACTGTTCACTCTTTGTACAGCCATCCAAGAGGGGGACTGGAACTACAGAGACCCTTCTAGGGCCCGTGGGGGCCAGGTTACTTCTTGTGCCCAGCCTTGTCAAGGATCTCCTACAGCCCCCTGGATCCCAGCTCTTACTTGGGTAGTTTGAACGATTATAACATTTGTGGCTACATCAGACACTTGCCTGAATCCCGGATATTTTAAACCACTGCCCCTAACTTTTCCTTCAAGTTGTCAAGTAAGTTGGCCCTCGGTATCCATAGGGGGGTAGGCCCCAGGACTCCACCTCTCTGGAAAACAGCAAAATCTGCAGATGGTCAAGTCTTCACTTGTAGGGGCCAGTGTTGCAGTTCTGATGCTGTTTTTGAGGTCACAGGCCCTTCCTCCAGTCACGCTCAGGTCCCCCTCCCAAGGTGGCATCTGGAAGTGGCCACAGGATCCAACACGATAGTCTAGCGGCTAAAGTCCTCGCCTTGCACCCACCAGGATCCCATAATGGGCGCCGGTTCTAATCCTGGCAGCCCCTTTTCCCATCTAGCTCCCTATTTGTGGCCTGGGAAAGCAGTGGAGGATGAGCCAAAGCCTTGGGACCCTGCACCTGTGTGGGAGATATGGAAGAGTCTCCTGGCTTCAGATTGGCTCAGCTCCAGCTGTTGCAACCATTTGGGGAGCTAATCGTTGGAGGGAAGACCTTCCTTTTTGTCTCTCCTCCTCTCTGTATATCTGACTTTCCAAACAAACAATAAATGTGATTTTTGTTTGTTTTTAAATATTAATTATATTTATTGTAAAGTCACATACAAAGAGGAAGAGAGAAAGAGGAAGATCTTCTGTCTGTTGATTCACTCCCCTGGTGTGCACAATGGCTAGAACTGAGCCAATCAGAAACCAGGAGCCCAGAACCTATTCCACATGGGTGCAGGATCCCAAGGTTTTGGGCTGTCCTCAACAGCTTTCCCAGGCCATAAGCAGGGAGCTGGATGGGAAGCAGGACCGCTGGGATTAGAATTGGCACCCATATGGGATCCTGGGCATGTTCAAGGCGAGGACTTTAGCCGTTAGGCTATTGAGCCAGGCCCAGTAAAATAAATCTTAAAAAAAAAATGGGGGCACAGCCCCCTGGGGGACAGTCTGCACCCACAGGGCCCTCTGTTGGTTAGTGCAAGTATCGGCTGTCCCCTGTCGCCTCCTTGTGCTATTTGGTATATGC